TTATCATTTCTTTTTGCATAGAGAAAATGGACTCAGAGGGAGGACCTTTGACCAAGGGCAGAGAGCTGGATGTGCCAAGCCATGACTCAAGGGCAGTTCTCTCTCAGTCCAAGTCTCGTATTCTTCCCCAGGTTCAACAGAGAACAGAAATACAATAAATACCACAGGGACTAACTTTTCTCCTCCATTCTTCCTTTTCTTTGGGCACACGTGTGTCATTTCTCTGTAGGGTGAAAATGCAAATAGCCAATTTTTACAAGAATAAACTTCGCTCTTCAATTTTTAGCACAAAGAACGGAGCTCCTGCTTATCCATCTAAGTGGATATTCACGGTAAATTTACTGGTGGAGTTTGGGCTTTTCTGTGTCCTGAAATTTCCCCCTATAGTTTGGATTACTTAAAAGCATGAGGGTTCTAAATCTTTTCCAGGTTAAAACTCGCTCACCTGGATTCCCTCCTATTCTGTTGCTTAGAAATAAAAAGGTAAGTTGGCCTCTGCTTTGAATGTCTTCATGCTGATCCTGAGGCGGCTGTTATTGTGCTTGCAGGTTTTACACACCTGCACGGTACTTTGCCCTATATGCTGGTATTCATCGTAGGAAATCCTGGGTCAGTCCTCTAGATGTCTAAGACTCTTGTTTTCGTGTCTTTCAAGTGCGTAGGACGAACAGAGAGTGCTATTTCTGCCTCTAGATATCATCTCTAGTTAGCATTTCCGGGGTGCTCAGAGAGAAAACAATGTCTGGGTGATAACTCTTGTCAGTTTCCCCATTGTCAAACCCAATCTTGCATTCCTCCACACTCACAATATTTCCCCATTGGGAACATGCCTGACATTGCAATTTCTCAAAACTGCAGCTCTGCAGTGAATGCCTAATTCCTGAAACTGCAAAATCTAACAAAAGCTGATTTTTTCCACTGATTTGACTGGCTGACTATTTCGAGACTTTGCATGTGATGACCTGCTGTTCTTCACAAACAACATCTTCAATGTACCCACATGGTTGTTCCAAAGTGGCTGCCCGCAATTAAATCCTTGGGAGCTGCGGGGCATATTCGGAGTTACTCAGTGTCCAGAGTTTCCGCCACAGACAAAATTTCCCCCTCGCTTACAGTTAGCAGGTTACCGAGTAGCAATGTGTCACTTGCTTTTGAACCCGGAGCCCGTTGGCCACCTCGGTGCACCAGCCTGACCCAGGGAAGCCTGAGCGCGCCGCTCCCTCACGGTTTTGTGGTGTCTTTAAACCGAGTTCTCTCTCTCAACTGGTGTTGATGTTTTCATATTTAAAGATGAATAGCCAACCTAGAGTAAAACGTGGCAATCCTGTTTGTCTGTTCTTCATTACCTAAATAATGACCTTTTTCTGTCTTGCACCAATCACTTGTTTGGGGTATTTTCTCTGTTTTTCATATTCGTTAAAACCCTTGGTGTGATTTAAGCATAAATTCTGGACCTGACTACTAGGGAAGACAAAGATTTATCTACTTTGTTTTCTCCTCCCCGACCCCTCTCATCCTTCCCCCCAAACTCGTTTTAATACTTTTCAGACCGGCGCCCCCACCCCCACCCCGCCGCCCGCCGCCCGGGGTTTCCCTCCCCGAAGAGGTCGGCCTGGCTCATCACCCAAACGGGTGCCTCACCCTTCCACCCTGATGGGCGGCGGGGCCCAGAGCACATTTCGGCCCCGCCCCCCCGTGCTGCTACCCGCAGGTCGGGGTTTGCCGGGGCCTAAGGGAGGCGACGACCGCGGGCAGAGCCTGGAGAGGACCCGGCGAAGCACCGCATCCCCGGACCTGCTCTTCCGGTTTGGGTTCTTAAGAGAACTGCATCGACGGGACGGAGCCTCTGGAGCAGCGAGCCCAGCAAACGTTCTCCCCTTCGGAGGAGCAGCCCGAAGGGGGCCCAGGAAATGGGGGACGCAGGCATTCCGGAGAAGGGGTTCTGACGGACAGCCCACCGCGCCCCGCAAAGCTCCAAACCCGCGCGGTTATTCGCGCCCCCCGCCCGCACCCCCTCCGCGCCGACCCCCTCCAGCGCGGGCTCGGGCGGGCAGTGCGAATGCCTCCCCTCGGCCGCCGGGGGGCTGGTCCCTCGCCCGCCCCCTGCTCCCCCCCTGCCCCCCACCCCGCGGTCCGGGGTGCGGGCCTTCCATCTCCCGCTCCCGCCTCCCGCCGGGCGGCCGCGGTGCGGCGCCTCCATCGCCTCCTTCCTCCCACGTGCTGCGGCCGGGCCGGGAGACGGGCTCGTTCCGCTGGCTGATCGTAAAAGGGTTTGACTTGCAGCTGACCCCGGGTCAGGACTTTCTCTCTACTAATCCCGCTCTCTTTAAACACAAAGACACTCTGCCTCTTCCCGCGCATCAGTCACCTTAATCCCCCGCGGCTGACACCGCGGCCCGCGAGCCCAGGCTGCACCGGGCGGGGGTCGCCGCGGCCGCGGGATCCAAGTCCGTGCCCGGGTTCCCGCCCCTCCCGTGTAAGCCAGCGGGGACGAGGCCGAGCGATGGGGGGGGGGGGGGGCGGGGGGCGGGCACGGGCCGTGTCGGGGTACCGGCCGACCCCGACCTGACTCGAAGGCAGCGTCCGGGGCTGCAGCCGCGGCGACGAGGGGCCGGGGCGCGGGGCGGAGAAGGACGCGCGGAGGACAAAGGGAGGCCGGGCGCACAGGGAAAGGAAGGGACTGTGCCGGAGGCGGGAGGGGACGGAGGTAAAGGGAGAGCGAGGCGAGGAGGAAACGCAGGAGCAGCGAGTGGCTAGCGGGGCGGGAAGGGGTGCGAAGGGTGGCGAGGGGAGGACGTGAGCCGGGCGCAGAGGCCAGGAAGCCGCCACGACTCCCGCTTCGGGGCAGCAGGGCGGGGGAAGGGCGGCAGGCGAGGCCGGAGGCCGGCCGCCCCCGCCCGGAGGGGACCCGGGGCGCGCACCGCGCGCCCTGGGCGCTGCTGCCCACGCCGCTGGGTTCCCGGGGGCGCGCAGCTGGAGAAGAAGGGCCGGGCGGGGGCGGAGGAGGGGCGGCGAGGAGGGCTCTGCGCCCCCCGCCGGGCCTCGCCCTCGGGCTGGGGGCCTGGAGGCCAGAGGGGGGGCGCGCCGGGGCCGAGGCGGGGGCGAGGGCGAAGGGTCCCTGTGTCCCTCGCCCGGCCCCCGCGCTGCCCAGAACCCTGCAGGCCCGGGGGCGGGGACCAGACCCACCTCCCTCGGCTGCTCGCCCGGGGGGCCTGCGCCCCTCTCCCCTCCCCTTCGGGCCCGGCCTTTCAATCCCGCCGAATAGTCGTGCTGGAGAAGGAGCTGCGCCAAGGCCAAGTCTGCTTTTCACTTGAAGTTTCCAAGGAATCAAACCTATTATTACATTCTGCCGCCGACGTTTCTGGAGCCTCTGCCCCGCGGGCCAGGCTGCGGAAGCGGGGAGGGGGGCGAGGGGGACCAGGGAGAGGGCGGGCGAGCAGAGCGGGCGCCGCGGGCGGTGGGTGCAAGAGCCTGGCCGCCCGGAGCGCGTCTTCCGCGGCCCGGGACGGTTTCTCGAATTAACCGGAATTTTCTGGAGACAGATCTCTGCATGGCCCAGTCTTTGTCGGGAAAATGAAATGCGTGAATATGCGTGTTATTCTTCTCCCACATGCATGATTTTAATAGACCTATCAGTCACGCTACCCGACACACATCTGCAGATCAGGCGCGCGCCGTACCCGCGACTGGTTTTAAAATTAATTCATTTCATCTAGCTACTAGTGGGTTTCTTTGGCCGGGCGTGGGGGGTTGGTATTACAGTCTTAACAACAAAAAGGGCCCGTTAGTTTTAAAAAAAGGGGGGGTGGTGGTGGTGAGGAACAAGAGTAAACCCCCTCCAGCAAACCGTGCTACCCACAGCTTGGACAGCGGGGCCGCGGCCAATGGCCGGTTTATGAGCTATTCTCGCAGTCGCCGGGGCACGAAGTTACGCAAACTTTGAACAAGGCCCCCAAACGAGTCTTGTCCACACGGTTTTCGAACAAAATTGGAATAAGCGATAGAAATGCCACCCTGTGATTTGGGAAGTGAGCGAAGCCATCATATAGAAATCATCATATACTATTTCATTTCGTGAATATGATGAGCAGCACCTTGACAAGAACCGGATTCCCGGTTGAGTGAGACGTCTGCAGGGCCTAGTGGAATATTTTCTCCACCAATGTAAGTTGGAGAAACGCTGCTGGAGTGATAGGGTCTTCAATCCTGAGATTAATCCTGGCCATGGTCTGCTCCCCCATTCCGGTTATTTCTAAATAGAGTCATTAACGAATTTATATTTGCTTTTTGCCATGTTCCAATCAACAAAACAAATACACTGCATTGCAGGAATTCCTATTTTAAGGTCTTCCTGGGTTTTTAACAAAGTGGCTCCCAGCACCTGGCATTGAATTTCAGCTACGTATGAGACACATGCGGAAAAATGCCAAACTATAAACCCACCTTTCGAGAAACCAAGGGACAGCTCCGCCTGGAACTCCTGGATACTGCTAAACTTTTTAGTCTGAAGCACTTCCAGTGTGACCCACATTACTAATAGTGTGATGAGCAAGACTCGGAGGCCAACAGCTGAGCCCAGATACAAACCTGGGTGTACACATATATGAGCATGGCCACACATCTATCTGTCTGCCACCTTAGTAAATGCAGGTGGACGCTGAGATTAGGAGTTAGCAAAAGAACCCAGAGAGTCTATCTAGTTGCACATTTCAGAGTCAATGTGGCCTGCTCCTTAAGCGGGGTGTGGTGAATTAACAGAGCATTACAGAATTTCCCAGAGCATCTCCCAGAGGAGACTGTGTGTGGCATTCATCCATTTATTCCCTATCTCATGATGCTGATCCACTCAGCAATCCATATAGATCCAAATAACTTCAGATTTCTAAAGCTTAAAAAAAAAAAAGGGAAGAAAAAAGAGGGGACTTTATTATCTTGTTAGAAAGAAGCAATGGACATCATTCTTGAGATTTTTGCAGTCACTTTAAAAAATGCGTGGTTTAAGCAAAATTACCAAAATGACTCCAAAAAATTACACATGTCAATTGCCAGGTTAACATTTTACTTAAAGCTATTCTCCAATGCAGGCTGAATGTGGTTCTCATTAACCTGCTAGCACAGGCCCATTTTTGGATAGATAGTCTATGCTCATTCCAGGACAAGAAAAGAAAATGAAGGGCAGGCCTAAGGCTGATGAAATCAACATGTTTTGATGTGGCCTAAAGGCTTTTTTTTTTTTTTCCCAAAAATATAATTTCATCTCTATGTTGTGACTAATTTCAAAATGTATTTGCTACAGTGTAACTTTTAAATGCAATATTTAATGCTGTCAGATTACTTGAAGACAAAGTTTTACAGAAAACTTTAAATTCCAGAAAAAAACTGCAATGTACCCATAAACACCTAGAAAAAATATAATTAAAAAATTTAAAGCATCAAACACCCTCCGATCTCATGAGGAATAATAAACATCACATTTTGTGTATCCCAGTTCACGCTGGGGATGGGGGGGGGTGGTCCAGTGAGTGTGTGTGGGGTAGGGGCGGAGAGAGAGAATTCAAGATCATTCTGCCCTTTCCCAAGGAGAAATAAGCCAGAGGGAGGGGCTGAGGAAGGACGGAGTGGGCTCGGCTGCAGTACATTTTGGTTCAAAGAGTGTTTCCTTGAGTCAAATTCAGATAAATTCCATTTGCAATCTCGCTAATTGCAGGGGAATTGGGGGCATCAGTAACCCCGCGGTGGTCTTTGTCATCCACCCGTAGCTTGGTCCCGCCATTGGGGTCTTCCTCCTCCAGACCAAACTGGGGAAGATCCCAGGCCCGCTGGAGGACGCAGAGCCGGCCCGTGTCCGCCCGCAGTTAGAAACAACACACCAAAGGGCCAGACTATAAAATGAGGGGCGTTTTTTTTTTTTTTTATCCTGGTAATTATTTCTTGATCCATATTAACACTGTAAACGCTACAAAATAATCTATCGATTTAAACTTTCTTCCCTTCCACTGAAACAGAAGCTCCGTGAAGATCGTACCCTCCCCCCTGAGAATCCCTCACTTTTAGTTTATGCTGATAATTTCTTTCTCCTTCGTCAGATTTACTAATTGTATTTTGAGCTCACAAAACATGCATATAAAATTAGCAAGTTCCACATTATGGGGGAAAACTGGGCTTTTTTTTCTCTCTCTTAAATTTATTGACTCAAAACTCGATGCATTTTTTTTTTTTAAGGAGAGGTCTTTTTTCGTTTTTAGAAGAAAGGCTTTTTAGGAAATTATGTACATAATCTGAATCCCCCTCCCCACACCGCAACGCCTAAAATAAAAATTTCACAATGCATTTACAAGAAATAATACAAAACAAAACAAAAAAATGGAAATGCTCAGATACAGAAAGTTTTACAAAACCCAGAACAGAACGCTGCCATCTGAAAGGAGTGGGGAGATCTCTTTGTATAAATTAACAAACCAACCCAAAAAAGCGGCAACAACTACAAAAAACTCGTAAGTGTTTGATCTGCCTCACTACATCGATAACAAATGAGAACGGCTCCCCGGCACCGGGTCTAGGGTAACCGAAGGCGTCAGGAAGCGATGCAGGATGCGAGTGGGCGCGCCGGCCGGGCTAGAAAAGTTGGAGTCGCCTCTCACTTGGTTTGGTCTTTGTCCCCTCGAGCAAAGAAAGCGCTTTCTGCCTCCTCCGCGAACGATAAATACTGTACAAAAAGTCTCAAGGAAACACCGCAGTCAGCCTAAACCGCAGGCTGTGTCTGCGCGCGGCGGTCCCCAGCAGCTCCCGGAAAGGTGAGGTGGGGGCGCGGGTCGGCCGCATTCGTCGCCAGTGTCTTCCTCGTCACAGGACCGTGGGAACGTCTGTACAAAGCAAGGCCGCTCGGCGCCGGGCGCCCGGGCGGGCCGCGCGCTCCTCCTCGCGCGTCGTGGCGCGGGCCGCAGCGTCCCCGCGTCCCTAAATGTGCGTCAGGGGCACCGTGCCGTTGACGCCCGCGCCCGCGCCCTGGTAGTGCTGCGGCAGCGAGTGCAGCCGGCTCTGCGCCGCCGCCGCCGCGGCCGCCGCCGGGTCGCCGCTCTCGCCGGCGGGCAAGTACATGCTGATCATTTCGCGCAGGTCCCCGGGGCACGGCGCCCGCGAGTGCGCCGCGGCGGGAGGGCTGCCGCTCGGCTCAGACTTGACGAGCGAGCCCAGCGCGCCCAGGGCGCCCGACGACGCGGCCGCCGCCGCCGCCGCCGCCGCCACGGCCGAGTTCTGGTGCGCGCCGCCCGCGGCGGCGGCGGCGGCGGCCGCGGCGCCGTAGGGGAGGCCGCCGTAGCCCGAGGGCGAGGCGCTCATGTAGCCCTGCGAGTTGGAGATGGGGCTGTACTGCAGCGCGCCCATGTCGTAGCGGTGCATGGGCTGCGGGTTGTGCGGGTGCGCGTGCGGGTGGTGCGGGTGCGGGTGCGCCGGGTGCGCGTGCGGGTGCGCGCCGCCCGCGCCCGGGTGCTGCCCGTAGGCCAGCTGCGCCTCCTGCATCATGGCCGCGGCCGCCGCCGCCGCCGCCACCGAGCCGGGGTAGGCGCCGTTGGCCCAGCCGTTGACGTGCGCGTAGCCGCCGCCCGCCGCGCCGCCGGGGCTCTCGAGGCGCTGGCCCACGGCCGCCGCGCCCACGCCCACGCCCATGGCCACGGCCGCGCCGCCGCCGCCCGCGCCGGCCGCCAGCAGCCCGCCGGCCAGCGAGTACTTGTCCTTCTTGAGCAGCGTCTTGGTCTTGCGGCGCGGCCGGTACTTGTAATCCGGGTGCTCCTTCATGTGCAGCGCGCGCAGCCGCTTGGCCTCGTCGATGAACGGCCGCTTCTCGGCCTCGGACATGACCTTCCACTCGGCGCCCAGGCGCTTGCTGATCTCCGAGTTGTGCATCTTGGGGTTCTCCTGGGCCATCTTGCGCCGCTGCCCGCGGGACCACACCATGAAGGCGTTCATGGGCCGCTTGACCCGGTCCTGGTTGGCCTTGGCGACCCCGCCGCCGCCGCCCCCGCCGCCGCCGCCGCCGCCCGCCCCGGCCGGGCCCGACAGGTTCGTGGGGGCCTGGGCGCCGCCAGGCGAGTGCAGGTCGGTCTCCATCATCATGCTGTACATGGGGGCGGCCCGCGGGTTCACCGGCACCGCGCGGGGAGGGCCAGGAGCATAGACGGCCGGGGGTGGAGGATGGAGAGGGGCGCAGTGGAACAGAGCGAGACGTGGGGAGGGGGTTGAAGTCCTACCAGAGAGAAGGACGGGGCAGGCGGAAGCAACGACGACAGAACAAGAGGCAAAAACACACGCACTCAGCGCAGGTCCGGCTCACAGGTGCAAAGTTTCTCCTCGTGCTCAAACCACTTGCCGGAGAGGGCGATGGCCGGGGTCGCCGCCGCCGCCGCCGCAGCCCTGTCGCCTCGGCGGAGCGGTGCAAACAGGTGCAGTCGTGGCCAAGTTGCAGCTCCACTTGTCGGGACGCGAGCGGTGCGCGGGGCCTGGCCGGGGGCTCTCTGCCTCCTCTCGGCCGGCCGCCGCCGCGCGCTGCCTGCTTCTTCCTGCACTGGGTCCTCAGCGGCCTCCAACTCCGGGGCTGCAACTTCTAGCAGCGCGGCGCGCCGCGTGCGCTGGGCATGTGCCGGTCCCAGGTGCCCGGGGGGAGCGAGGCGCCGAGGGGGGCGCGGAGGGGGGCCGTTGGGGAGGGGGGCAGGGGGCAGCGCTGGGAGCGCAGGCGCGCGGAGAGGGCCTGAGAGCGGGGCCGCCGAGCCCGGGACTGGCTGCCCACTGCCTGCCCGAGGCCGTGCGCTCGGAGCGGAGGCGCACGCGGGGCCGGCGGCGCGCGGGGCCCAGCAGCCATACGCCGGGCCCGGGCTGCCATTAAATGAGCGCACCGCGGCCAATGGGAGCCGGCGGCGGCGGTGATTTGCATGGCGCGCTGGCGACTGACGTGGGGAGGGAGTAGATGCTCGGGGCGCGGGCGGCGGGGCGGGAGGAGGGGAGGAAGGAGGGGGAGCAGGGGCAGGAAGGAGGGGGAAGGAGGCCTGGGAGGGGGCACAGCCACGCTGCTTCCTGAGCGCGCGCGGCGGCGGCAAACCCCGAGCTCGCCCTCCTCGCCTCTCCCGCCCGCGCGCTCCGAACGATTAAGGTTGGGTTTAAAAGCGGAGACGAAGAAAAGAATCGTTCGGGGCGGGAGGAAGAGCGGTAGGAGGGGCGGGGGGGGGTGGGGTGGGGATACAGCCTGGAGCCTTGTTTAAACGAGTGCAGTGAAGACCCAGCTTCTCTGCACCCCGCCGGCCAACTCTGCGCTTGCTGGGGAGGGCAAAGTTGGAACCGTGGCGAGAACCTCACCCCCCGCAGGCCCCGAGGCCTGGGAGGGACAGGCGCGCCCTCCGGAGCCGGAGGTAGTGGGGGGCGTCTGAGATCCGCAACTCGAAAGCCCCCCACGGGTTCTTCTATGAGACCTCTCCCAGGGATACCTGCTCCGCCGCCGCGTGTGAGAAGTTCTCCAGTGCCCCCTCTCGTAGGAAGGCCTTCCCATCCAGGCCCTAAGAATCCCCCCCGGGGGGGGGGGCGTTTTGTCAGACTTGGCTCCATAGCTGCTTTTAGCATCAGCCCTGAACTTTTTTTTTTTTTTTTGAGGGTCTTCTAACGAGCTTGGGGGTTATAGGCTCGTACTCTTCTCAATTTAGCTTTTTCCTCCTAAAAAGAAATTGCTAGGGAGCTCGGAAACAAGATCTATCTGGAATTTAGTAGCAACTCAACAACAGTTGAAAAAGTTTGTTTAAATCGCAAAAGAATGATGGATCCCACGCTCTTCTGGAGCGAATCTTCCAGCATTTGTTTGCCCAAGAGCTGTGAAAACTGTGTGAACGGAGTAGGGCCCACTGGACACCGAACGGGGAAAATGGGGCCTCACGACTAAGCAGCAAATGCCGTTTTCCTACATTATGCGAACGAAAGGCCCGGTTCTGGGGAGGAGGAAGGCCCCACCTGCGGTTGTAATTCCTAAACTTTAAAGTGTCTTCCAGTTGGGGACGCACAAGAGATTTCCAAACCCAGTCTCAAAGCCCCCACCATCGCGCTCACGCTACTGTTTCCGTCCGAACGATGAGCAAGTGGCCCAAAGACTTCTTGAGTCCGTTGAGCCCCAGCATCCCTCATGCGTACTCCACGCGGGCGCCCGTGTAGCGCCGGAGAGGGAGGTGCTTAGGAGACTGCGGGTGGGTAAAGCCGAGCCTAAGCAAAGCGGCGTGACTGACCGTCCCGTAGTGGAAGTAAACGTGTAAGGATGAGGATGGCCCTGAGCGTACTAATACGGATGTTTAAGTATGCTGGGTAGTGACTACGTGACACCTTACCCCCCCCCCATTTAAAAAAAAATTCTGAGGTTGTGAATATTCTGACCCTATTGCTTGTCCATGGTGCAGGGATCCTCCTTTCCCTCTTCTCAATGACTATGATTGTTACTGTAGCCTTTTTGTTACTATTTCAAGGTTGCTACGGTATGCAGTGCCACAGCAAATTGGTCTCTGCAGATTGAACTGCTTCCGTTTCAGGCCTTTCAGCGTTTCATAGTGAACTCATCAAATAATACATAATTATATTAGAAAGGAAACGTCATTTTGTATTTAATTTTTCACTAAAGATCTAGGTTATAAACTTGGTTTTCAACTACCTTCTCATTTCATCAATCCAGTTTGTTAAACCTTTTGATTTGTTGTATGCGCTACCACCAAATATCAGTTACATTGTGAGGGAACAAAAAAAGAACGAGAATATTGTTTAAGAATGCTACAGCCCCGTTTTTCTTTTGATAATTTAGGAGGCGATGGGTGTGCAGTGAAATCCAGTGTGTTATGGAAAGTCAGCAAGACTGAAATAAAGGAAATGGTTTACAAATTATAAACTATATTATCCACTTAGCAATTGAAAGATTTCTTTTCCTCTGCTTTTCAATTTAGATTTTAAACTAAATAGCCTAAGACCCCCTGAAAATGCTTTGTGTGAGTCAGGCTTGGCACATTATTTTCCATATCAATGGAGCAATTTATTTTATAAACACCCTGCACTCCAGTTAGCATTGCAGGAATGCTTTATGCTTTTGGGAACTTGGATAGCCGACTTTGAAACGGTCTGGTTTCTTTCTACCATAGTCCTGAAAATTGTTTCCAAATACGATGTTACCCTTGTTTTCCAGAGCCTCTAAATAGGAGGTAAATGGTTTAGCCTTGTGTGAGATCATGCTAGTGCTTAGCGTTCAGGGCGCTCTCCATAAGCCCTTTTAGTGACGAGATGTTCCCTGGGCCCAGGCGGGTGCACACTCTATGGGTGCCCACGTGCAGAAGCATTAAACCAGAGCCGCAGGTGTAACTTGTTGCCAAGCGATAGATGATTGGCAGCAATCGCCTGTGCCAATTAGGCAGTGGCAGGGCGGTGAGTGCCAGACCTCTCCGTGCCTTCCATCCTGGCATGGAGGCTGAGGAGCGTTGTATCACCTCCTGCCGTAATGGCTTTTGGGAGCCTCAACTGCTTGCTCCTTCTGACCCCTCTCCCCAGTGACTCTTTAAAAGGAGAGGAAACGGTCCAAAAACCAGTTTGAAAAACACCTCCTCTCCCCAGTTTTGTTACTCCCTCCCACCCCCCACCAGGTTGGCAGGGGCCTCCTTCACGCTGAGGGCTTCTCCAAGGTTGGGCACTGAGGGGTTTGAAGACAGACTACACTCTTTCCCAGAAATGTCAGGGCCCAGGCCCTGACTGAGGGATTGCTTTGCTGTTGATTGACCACATTGGCTCTTTTGGCTTCTCAGAGACTTCATCGTATCTCTTCGCTCGAAATGCCAAAATGAAGATCAACTCGGAAAGATGGATAAGTAAAGATACTTCCCGTTCTTTTATTTAACTTGTGGGCATGATCTGAAAGGAAATTCAGATCCAGGCCTCCTCAGAGGAAATGACACACACACATATGCTTATGTATCCATATGTGTGTACACACAGAATATATGTGCATACGTGTATATATATGTGTGTATACATGCTGAGTATATACACATGAATATATGCATACATAAACATACATGTGTTCAGGCAGGATAGATGCATATGTGTACATAGGTGTATAAACATACCGAACATATGCATATCTATGTATGTGATGTATTTAGGCAATTATACAAAAGCCCTTGACTCTCAAATAAATTGATTTCTGGACTTCCAACACCATTAGCGTAAACTGTTCTTGTGGAGTAACTAAAACTTTTGGCTCTGGCTTTCCCCCCCTCCCTGTGGTTGTGCTTAGGAGAAATCCCGGGAGCAGAGAGGGTCACTGTGGATAGAATCCCCTGTAGATTGCCCCTAGCACTCTTTAAAGGAAAGCTACCTTTCAGGCACCTAGAGGTGACCTTCTGTACCAGCGCCAGTCTAAATAAAGCTCCAAGCAAGTGGAGAGACGGGCAGGTCCGGAGTTGGGGGGTGGGGACGGAAGTTGGTGAAAGGTCACCGTAGGGGAGCCGCGAAGCCTAAAAACGCCTGTCTTAGGCGGCCTTGGCGCAGCCGGCCCGTCCTGGGCACACGCGCCCGGGGGATGCGCGCGGACCGCCGGCCGCTGCCCGCCCACAGTTCAGCTCCTGCGGCTTCCGGGACGCGTGGACAACCGAGGCCCTGCGTAGACGCCTCCGTGCACCGCCCGGGGCGCAGCCTTGCAGGCTCTGGTGTCGCCCCAAAGGGCTCAGACCAGAGTCAGGAGAGGCAAATCCTGAGGGAGGGAGCCGCCAATGCAAGGCCGGATTTGGGGAGAGAAAAAAGTGATGGGAGAAGAAGAGCGAGCGGGGAGGAGGAGAATGCGGCAGAGCGAGCGAGCGCGGGCGAGGAGAAAAAGGAAGACCCGGAGGCCGCTCCGGCCTTCGAGGTCGTCTCTGCCGACAGGAGGCGCAGGCCGAGCGGGCGCCGCTGGAGGGGGACAGCGCCGGGAGGGCGGCGGCGGAGGCCGCGCTTCCCCCCTGCCCGGAGCCGCGGGAGCGCGGGCCGCGATCGCCGTCTGCTGGCCGCCGCCGCCCTCGCCGCCTCGCGGAGCTGCCGGCCTCCGGCCCCCGCTCCCCGCCGCCGCGCCCGGTTCCCGGCTCCTGCAGCCTCGCGCGCCGCTCCAGGGCTCGGCGCGCGCCCTCGGGGCTTTTCGAGCCGGGGAGCGCGGGGGAAGGCTGGGGGTCGTGGCGGGGGTGGGGGGCGCGTGTCTGTCCCGGATCCCCGGGCGCCCTCGGGCCCCCTCCGCGCCCTGACCCTGCTAACTTGGCCCGTTGTTCCCAAACAAAGCCAACCGAGCCAAAGTAACACAAAAGTTTCTTTGTTGATTTTTCCTTTCTTTTAAAGGGGAAAAAACTAGTCATGGAAGAGGGGAAAGAAGAAGGAGAAGAAAAAGAACCGCTCGTAGGGCATCTGTGCCACTTAGGGGGAGCAACAGAGCAGGGGACCTGTGCAGCGGCCCTGGGCGCGCAGGTCCGTCCGCCGTCCACTCCTTCCGCTGGGAGCGTCCGGGTGTGGAGGGCTGAGCCTGCAGCGTCTGCAGGGAAGGGGGAGTAAAGCCCTTCCCCTCGAAAGCGAGCACGGCTTTCTTCCCAGCCCTCAGTGTAGGGGTCCGTAAATTCACACTGAAGAGCAAACAACCGTGTGTGTGTGCGTGCGTGTGAGCTGTTTTGTGCCTCCTAGCTCTCTGGGTGAAAGCATTTGGAGAATCTCTGGGAGCTTTCGAGTAGGGGCTCACCCTGTGAGCAGTACTCACACATATAATTCAAATTTCACAGCTGACCTGCTCTGAAAACCTCAATCAGCTTCTAATTGAAGGGAAAACAAAATATTGCTTCCCTACAGCAGAGCTAACGATTTAATCATTATATCAGACATTATAGCTTTTAATTAG